GTTCAGCCAAGATCTATCGGACATCAACAATGATTTCCACATTCCACAGCCTCTTCTGAATCTGACTTGAACCTCTGGAAGTTCTCTGTCAATGTATGATTGTAGCCATTTCTGTATTACCTTTAGCTAAACTTTACTCATATGGGATATCAAAGAGATTGTCCAATGATTTCCGCATTCCTTTGGGTCACCTTTTTGGAATGGGCACAAATATGGATCTCTTCCAATCAGTAGGCCAGATAGTTGTCTTCCAAATTTCTTGGCAGAGATGAAAAACTTATGAGTAGCAGAGAATAAAGACTAGTAGTATACCAAATCATTATCTGGCATGTCGGAAAATACAATAGTTTCTCAATACGGGATAAAACTTTGGCGTGGTCTGATACTTCCCTCTTCACTTCATCTCCCAGTTTTTTCTTCTCCAGATAAATAAAATGCCAGAATCATTTTTCTACAACTTTCACCCTAGTTGGCCACACTATTACAACAGACTGTTGATCTGTGTATTGAGTCTTAGTGCCTCACAGAACAACAGGTTGGGAGTCAGGAGGCCTATGCTAAGTCAAGGACTGTGTGTCAAAGTAGCTGTGTGTTTTAGGCTGGGCTTTCTAGAGAAGAAAATATACATACATATGTTTTATCATTTATATATTTACTTCTCTTTATATATTTATACATACATATGTTATACCATACATAACATATGTATGTACTAACATGTTATACCATATGTATTATCTTAAAATTTTAGTGTCCCAGGTACCCAGCAGAAGAGAGATCAACACTCCCACGTGTCCATTATATTGGGAACAGGCCACAAACGCAAGGAAGCAACACTTCAATTGACTGGCTGCTCAAAGCTGTTCATCACAGAGCTAACTATGCCAGTATTAGGTTTCACAACCATGAGAATAAGCACATCTCAACTAGTAAACCTAGGAAGAACTCCTCTGGTTGAGATGACACTGAATCTTAACTACTACAGTTCACACTTGTCAACTCAAACCTAAAAACTATGCATAATCTCTAAATAAAGAAAATGTAAAGCCACGTTTACACCTAACATGTTATAACTAAAACATGTACAACCAAAAATGCACTGGCCCCATTTTCATCTTAAATGTCACAAATCAACAAAGCAAACATATTTGGTAGAACATACAAAGCAAAGCAAAAAACATATACTCATTTAAATGTGCAAATGTACATTCATTTAAATGTACATTCTCCAAGCCAGCCTCCTGCCCATAGGCACACAACCTAACTCAGTCCATGAGCCTAGAGTCCATAGCTGCTGTCTTTGCATGCCACCACCTCTGCCACCATCTCTGTTAAGGAATCCCATGCTCCACTCATACTCTTCCTTAATAGTGGTCCTCGAGTGTCTAGTTCTGAAATGAAAGATAACTGCTCCCTCCTTTTAATTGCAAATCTTCTATAATTACACTTTTTACAATCACAATTAATGCACAATTACTCACAATTTAACTCATAAAATCCTATGAGCATCATCCCTCATCCAATTTTCACTAGACCCATCTAGAAAAGAGGAAAACTAGTCTGTGGAGATTCCTCCTTATCCCCTCATTCTAACACTAGCACACTCATGGAAGCTTGTAAGGTAGCCACTTCAGCCTCCCATTCTTGATAACCAATGTCTAAATTGCCTGTCCCTATAAACCCAGTACACTAAGGAGGCAAGCATGTTACTTGATATGAAGAATCTTCCATTCCAATTGGAATTTTGAGCAACTGCATCAATAAGCAAATGTCCAGTTCATCATTGGTACTTTCTCAGAGTATCAAACATCTTTATCTTCATTTGCTTAGGTTCTGGTCAGCTCAACACTAGCAATCCAAGCTAGGTCAAATAGGTACTAGCTGAAACTGTGGGAGTTCACACATACCTCCCTGCACTTCAGTACAGCTGGAAACTTCACTGTTAGCCATAACCCCAATGGTCTGTGTCAGTGCCCATGGGTTCAAGAGTTTATACAACTCCCTAAACTTCAGACCAGTCAGCCTTCAAGCTCCTCTTATCTTAAGGTCAACAAGTGCCAATAGAACATGTCCAAACTCAGCCTGTATTTTCATTGCTGTATTTCCCCCAATTCCACTCACACACAGACCCAGGTGGTCATCAGCAAGCATACAGCTTGCTGGTTCCCTTTAACTCGCAGTCCTAGAAGAGGGTTTTTACTGATAGGTCAACTTTCTTTCCCTTGATGCCTCTGAAATTCAAATTGGCAAACTGCCCATTATTTTTCTTGACTTGAATCTCCTATTCTCCTAACAGTTCTGAATTGGTCTATATGTCTTCAAATGCAAATGTCCCTACTTTGAAGGTTCTAGATGCAGTTCAGGTTCCACCTAAAGTCCCATACTCTACAGTTCTTATACCAAGAAGTCTATCTTTTTCTTTTTCTTTTTTTTTTCTGGGCAAATTCTAACTAGCCTTTTAGCAAATCCAGTCACGTATAGGCTTCAGGCAGGCTTACAAGCTCTCTTTAAACATGACAGCCAGTATTCATTTCTATCACACATGTACATCTATTTTATAATAATAAGTAGAAGAAACCAATATCCATAAGGCAGTCAAACACATAAACCATTAAGAACACTCAAGTTCAATCTTTTCTTCTACCTTGAACTAATGCCATTCATATATATATATATATGGCCTTGGCCTCTGGCAGGGTGGAGTCCAGTAGGCCCAGGTCCAGTATCAGCCATCCTTTTTAAACAGCCTGATATCAGCTCCAGGCAACTCCAGAAACTGCCTCTCTCCCCTCCACTGAAATATTTTATCCCATGCCCCTTCATTCTTTCTCTTACAAAATCTCATAATTGGATAAGTCAAGAGCCATTGCAATGAATCCTATTCACAGCACCAATTGCTTAAATCAAGTGGGGACCATATCTGACTTCCTGTGAATCCAAAAGACGGAAAGGAGACCAAGCTGAAAATCAGTCCAAGGCCTATTCCTATGAAGTGTAGGTCAGACATGCCTCCACCTTATATTAATGTCTTTAAAATTAGTGCAATTTGAGAACCAATTTAGAAAACTCATCTTTTGATTTTGTTTCTCTAGAACCCCACTCTCTCGGTACCAGTATTTTAGGCTTGGTTTTCTAGAGAAGCAAAACCAGTGAAACATATATATGTATATCCATAGGAGTTTATTATAGAGTCCCAGGTTCCCAGTGGAAGAGAGAGAGAGTCACTTCCATATGTTCATTATATTGAAAGCATATCACACACCCAAGGAAACATCCTTTCAATTGACTGCCTTATCATAGCCATTCATCATATAGCTAACTATGCCTGTATTAGGTTTCACCACCACGGGAATAAGCACATATCAACTGCTAAACCTCTGAAAATCCTGACCCAGTCAAGTTGACAAAGACAGAACCCTAACTATTACACTGTGTCAACTATTGACAGTTTCTGAGTTTCAGTTTCATCAGACACAAAATTTGGACAAAGTAATCACTTGATACTTTCTTATCTCTAAGTTTTAGAAACCTCATAAATATTCTAGGATCTCAATTCCAAATTACTCTTGTATGTTAGTGCCCCACTGATTTTCTTAACATTTTATTGATTTTTTAATCATCCATCTCAAATAATTAATTGGCTTTCATTGTTTCATAAATCAAGTCTCCTAAATTATGCAATAAGGTCCCCAAATCACATATTTAGACTCACTAAGGTCAGCAGTTCGAAACCACCAGCTACTCCGTGGGAGAAAGATGAGGTTTTCTGCTCCCGTAAATATTTACAGCCTCGGAAACCCTGTTCAGGGTCTCTATAGGTCAAAACCGACTCGACGGCACATAACAACAACAATTCTGCACTGGGAGCCTATTTCAGGAGAACTGGCCTCCAGAGAATGCTCACTGGTATCTTTCCCATGCAGTGTGCCCTGCATTTACATGATTTTCTCTTAACCTGAAACTCAAATTAGGAAAAAGAGGAACTACATGACAGTGAACCAGAAACAAATCTCTCCTCTCTGCCTCTAATTCTACTCTTAATTTTCATGTTTTTGTTTCCTCTTAAGTATCAGATAAAAATACACAACTTAATTGAGTTTCCATAAATTCTGTAATTTGATATAGACTGAGTATTAAAAAAAACAAACAAGGTGGACAGGAGACATAAGTGTTTCTTGAAAAGGAAGTTAATATATGAATAATGCTTTGATTGACTGTTCTTGCTGAAATGGAAACAACTCCTTGCCTTGTCAGTCACTTGCAACCCCTGGGCAGACTACATTACCATTCTGACTAATCCTGTTTCCCCTCTCCTTGTAGGCTTCCATCTGGGCTCCACAGTGAGGTCTGAAACCAAGGGCATCTGGATGTGGTGTATACCTCACCCCTCTAAACCCAATCACACCCTGGTCCTTCTGGACACTGAGGGCCTGGGTGATGTGGAAAAGGTAAGGCATGCAGTCAAGGAGAAACCATCTTTGCTCTAGATTCTGCTTTTACCTTTTAATTTGACATATTAATTCAAATTTTTGAACCACAAGATCAGCAGTTCAAACTCACAAACCGCTGCTTAGAAACCCTATGTTGTTGTTGTTGTTAGGAGCCATC